GTAAAGGGGTCTCCGGTTGTCTACACTCACCATACGAAACACAGCAGTATTAAGCTGCAATTTTACGCTTATACTATGTGGAAGAGTGTTCCTTCCTCGGTCGAGCTGTCCTATTCGTGCTGCAATCACAATATAGCTGCAACGTGGCTCTACGACGTATTTAAAGTATCCTACAAAATATTACGCCATTCTGCTGGATATAACCTTTATAACTCTCATTTCTGAGAGGATTATGAAGCTGATAAGAACTAGGGATGAATTGAATATTCGTTCCATATTCAGTATTCCGCATATTCCGCAGGATTACTTCGTATCCTGCCGAATAATCAGCTAATTCGTCAAATGTTCGGCAAAGCACTAAAGTTTACTGTGTTGAGGTATTTGTCTATGAACATGATTGATTAAAACAACGTCTTACGTAGTTGTGTTATTTTTGGAAGGTAATTTAGTAGAAGGTAGTTTAGGAACGTATAGCTGTATGTTTTTGAGACACTGTAGTATTATTTACAAAAGCAGTGCGGATTTTAATCATATTTCTAGTCGCCAATTAGCGTAAACGACAGTAGATGAAATTATTTATCGAAAGCAGTAAACACAGTTAATTATGCCGAATATTAACCGAATATAACTAGTTCGGCCTGTCTCTAACAACTAACAAGAACTTAACGCGTAACACCGGTAAGAATCGAGGAACTTCACAAGTGTTTAAAGTATTAATTTTTATTTCTGAGACATTGAGATTTTTTCAAAATATTTTCCTTTGTCATAGAAAATGTGGAAAATCAGGACTTATAGGACTATAAATAATTATCATGGTTTTTCCGTAACTCCTCTTTAGTCACGTTCTTTATTACAACGTATCCAAACTAAATTTTAGTAATACTTTTGGTATTGCTGAAATTTATTTGAGTTCTTTAATGTAAATACGTTTTGTAATAACATATCTATTAAGTCACTGATTGAGGCATTTGGAGTAATATTAATATAATAATAATGATAAAATGAACAATGATATTTTGGTTCTTTCGTTTTTACATTTAGAAAAATGTTACCTACACATATAATTATTTACAAGTGATTACAACATTATTACTTGGTTTAATAGATACATTATTTGTATTGCAGCGATTAAATTTGCGACTCTCAGCGCAACGCCACGGTGGCAACGGAGCCGTACAAACTTATTAAGTTTTATTATTATGTTGAACAAGTAATCACACGTTGTTCATATTGAATGACGTATCTAGTATGCTAATATATGTATATAAAATTGACAGGTATTATAAACCCAGTGCAGGCAACACGTAATATGTTTTGTCGCTGAGAATCGCTATGACTAACTTCGATCGAAATATGTACATCGCAATGTTTTTTTTAAATATTTTTGATTATAAGGAACTTCCTTTACATAGATACATATATCCTTTACATAGATTCCTTTACATACTTTAGACGTGGTAGAGCCATGCTGCAGTTATATTAATAGTATAGTTGTAGCACGAATGGGTCGGCTCGACCGGGGAAGGACCACGCTCTCACAGAATACTAGCGTGAAATAGTAGCTTAATGCTGCTGTGTTTCGTATGGTGAGTGTAGAGAACCGGAGACCCTTTTTACTGGAAACCAGGCATTCCATCTTAGTCCTCACGGGTAAGAACGCATCTGCATTTTGATTTGTAATCGAGGATAGATGTAAATGTCTATGGGCCGCAGCAACCACTTACCTTCAGGTGGACTGTGTGCTCGTTTGTCACCATATTCTATAAAAAAAATCTTTATCGTAAACAGGCAGACGTGGATTGAGGACAAGTTTGGTAGCCGGCTAGCCGGAATATGTTATCGAGGTCAAAAAGAGCTAGAAACTTTTGGAATCGCCACTTATCAATATAAAGATATAGATATAATGTTTTTATTTAGTCAAAAATAACTAATTATATCTTCAATCGGAAAACCTGTATCGTGACTCTACCACTTTAAATTAAATTATTCAATTTATTTGTTTACATTATTTGACAATATACAATATTTATAAAAATGATGTTAAATTTATCATACAATTGATAACAACATACAACGCTGGCTACATTGCCTTTAGGGCGAAAAAAAAACAAACCCTCTTGTTACCAGCGGCGATGATCTGATGCGGATACATATATTAAAATTAGGTTTAAATTGCAAAATCATAAAATATATCTACTAGTGTTACTTTATTATCTTCAGGGAATTACCTTTTTTAAGATATGTTGTAAAAGGTATTTTGAAGAATTTACCGAAAAATTCTCGGTGGCTAAAGGATCTGCGCTGCGGGTATGCAGGTTTGAATCCCGCATTGAACTTGTATATATGGGCTACAAATGATTAATACAGGTCTGGTTTGTTTGCCTATATTCAATTTATGTATGCAAAACTTCTTCATGATACAGGAAAAAAATATATTCTGCCGGTGATGGTTAATATAGATTTATTGTTTAATATCAATATTGTTTATCGTTATCATCATGACGGAATCAACGGGACGGGGTCTCCGCGAATATGATGTGGCAAAGCACGCTGACCAACAAGAGTGAAAAAAAAGTTGAAACTGAACGCGATAATATCCGGAAAATTAGTTTTAAACAATATGCCCTGCGTTTTTAATTATTATTTATTTATTTAGTTATTTAATTATTACCATCATCATCATCATTACGGCCCTTCACAAGTCCACTGCTGAACATAGGAATCCTCCAAGGAATGCCACAAAGCACGGTCCTGAGCCACCTGCATCCATCGACTTCCTGCATGTCTTACCAGGTCGTCACTTCATCTAGTGGGGGGTCACCCTTTTTTTTTTTGCGGATGGAAAATCATCTAATGACCCCTTTCGCTCTGGGTGGAGCGTAAGGGAGTGTCAGACTTTTACTGACTAAAAACCATCCGTGTTCCTTCAGTGCCCTTACGTTCCGGAGCCGCGGTATCTCTTTCGAATAGCCCGCAGCCCCGGCAGGCGTCGGCCCTTGCGGGCCCCATCACGCTGCTGACAGCTCTTTGAGGCGCGCGTGGAACAAAACGCGCCGTCGACACGGCCTGTCGTCGTTAGACGGACGGACGACGAGCTACCCATTGCTCGCCGTCCACAGGCCCGCGCCTACGGTGGCCGGGGGCCACGACGTAGCCCCCGACGCCCGGGGCGTCTCCCGCGGCGGCCGGGGAGGAAAGCTGCTGCTCTTTCCTTCTCCCGCTCCGCCACCTCCTTCGCTAGCATCACTGCTTCGCAGAAGGTGGTGACGGCATCCCATTCCGTCTCGCTCCGGACCATGGCTTCGACCAGGGCCGGACGCGAGAGGTCGCCGCCGCCTATCGCCGCTACGAGGACACGGCGGTGCTTCGCCCAAGCAGGGCACACCTCCACGGTGTGTTCCACCGTGTCCTCCGGTCCATCCTCGCAGTGGGAGCACCCGGGCGTTTCCTCCCGCCCGATTCGGTGCAGGAACCTCCCGAACACACCGTGTCCGGTGAGGACCTGAGTCAGGCGGAAGGTGAGGATGCCGTGGCGTCTCTCAAGCCACTCCTCAAAGAGGGGTCTTATCGCCGCTATAGTGGCGTGCCCAGCACGGGGTTGCGACAGTCGCTCTCTCCATGTCGCCATGAGATCGTGCCGGAAGTCTGTCCGCTGCGCGACAACTTGCCGCGGCAGCGGGGTTTCCCCCGGCATAGTGCCTCCGCGCGCCATTCGTGCAGGCGTGCGAGGACTACCGCCTCCAGATCCCATGGCGGCAATCCGGCAAGGAGGCTCGCCGCCTCGCGGGAGATCGTGCGGTAGCCGCGAACCATTTTCACGGCGACCACCCTTTGGGGCGCGTTCAGGTGGTGGACGGCAAGCCGCGCCAAAGTGGGGGGTCACCCTACACTTCGCATACAGGTACAAGGCTGCCACTCTAGAACCTTTTTCCCCAGTTCTCGAGTGACTTCAACTATAAGTGTAGTAAATAAAAGAATTCTTCGCAATCGAATCGCATTTGACTTATCCTCCGTCATTTTCATTATAACATTTTTTACATATTACAAACTAGTCTTAGAAAGGAGATTCAAAACACATTTGTTATTCTTATAACCTAAGGAAAACACTGTATTAAACAATTACCAGCTCATCACGCTCCAAGATTAACACGTAAACCCCTGTATTGCTCGTTACGATCTTCTGTCTTGTTACGATAGCATTTGCACATTGACATATACAATACGTTATATAATGTGTCTGAAATTGTTTATCATATTGTTACTCTTAACATCAAAATTAATTGTCATACTAATACTTTTAGCGACTTATTCTGGCGAAGAAAATAGACTGTTATCAGGCAGATAAAAATGCGACAGAGAGAAAAAACCTAAAACCGTGCTTTGTGGCATTTCTTGGGCGGGCCTATACCCAGCAGTGCACTTGTAAAAGCTTGTGATGGTGATGATGATCATTCACGAGCTGAGTAATAAATGAGAACAACAAAAAATACCTGCCGTTTGTAATTAAATGAACTAGGTAAAATAAAAGGGGAAAACATAATGATTTCTACAGATTCTACAGATTAAGTGAAACTAATTTTATGGAGTTTACCGCGTTTAAATTTAACTTTTTAATTCCCGATGGTTCAGCTGCTTTACAGCAACCATGGTCAAACACTTAAGTCTCCCCCCCAACATTTTAATTAATTTTAATTCGCAACTCTAACTTCGCAGTCGTCAACCACTAGTAATCAATTTGGTAATCAAAAAATAAATAAATAGGTACTTTTGCTTAATGCGCGTAATTGAGGTAATAATTTTTGTAATACGAATGACATGTCAGCATTTTGACAATTTAGCCATGTAGGTCAAACGTCATGCAAAATAACTAATAATAGTTTAATTTTAATTTCAGGTACGAACGAGAAACAAGTTGACAGTATTTTGAGATATAACTCAGTAATGCACATATAATTAGTCCAGTCTAATTATCTAAAATAACATATAGTTCTAAAATCAACATGTCGACGGAAAGAGCAGAAACCCATATCAATGGCATGCGACTTGGACCACTGACAAGAGAAATTCCCGAGTGCGTTCGGGATAAATATACCGTAGTACAAACAATTTTAGACTTTATAGCATTTTGGATACTTATAATTGGACATATTATTAAGGGAATATATAGGTCGATATTTGGATATCCAAAGAAGGAACTTAGAGGCAGTATTGCTGTAGTAACTGGCGGTGGGGGAGGCCTTGGTAGTCTGGTGGCCTTGAGATTGGCGAGACTCGGCTGTACCGTGGTTTTATGGGATATCAATAAACAAGGTGAGTAGTATTAATGTTATGTATAAGCACGAGCTTTAAATGCAAATTTATATGATTTATGCAATTGCATGGTATTACTAACTGTTTAATAATATCATGCAATTATACAAAAGGAAACCTTTGTTCATAAATAATTATTATCTCTCTATTATGTTTCTCTATTATTTTTTATTATCTATCTATTATGTGGATTCTTATTGTGGTAAAAGTCATCTTTCAGCAGAGTCTATGACTATTTATCGATTAATTATCATCAGCATTCGAATGTTTTAGTAATTTTCATAATATAACGGCATTGTTTTAATTCTTATACCGAGTACTACTCGTAAAACCATTGATTTCAAATTTATGAATACCTAATAAATAGCTTTTAAAAAAGGCAGATAATAGAAATATGTGATTAGTGTTTTTTAAAAATAACACTCACTTATTTTATAATTTCAAAAAATTGTTTTTTTTTTTGAATAAATAGTTTAATAATGATTAAACTTACAGAGTTACATGGACTCTAAAATGAACACATATTTAATAAATCTGTAAAATTAGTTTTATTTCAATGTGTTTATGTATTCTAGAAAAATTACTAATGATTTCCAGTTTCATTCTGTTAACCTTAAATACCAAATACCAATAGAATTGAATCGACAAATAATCAGCTTAAACTAATTTAACTTAGGAATTAAATAAGTGCAATATTTATTATTTAAAACTACAAAAATTAGTCATCAAGTTCGAAGGAAAAAGAGCGACGCATCGGCACTGTGTATATATTTACTAGAACAATTTTGAGCTATTTTTGAACTTTATCATACCTCAAAAATTATTAGACTTACACATTAGTTATTTACCATACCTATTATGGACCTTTCAATTATCTAAGCTCCAATAATGAAAAGCAAAAAAGTTATATAATAGTATAACAAACGATCACACAGTTATATATAAATCTATTAAAATTCTGGAGTTATTAAGGTCTGAAAAGTGCAATTTTTATCACTTACTAACTCAAAAAAAAACTTAAAAATCAAACCTAGGCCACTTCTAGGTCACTTAGGTACATGAAATTTGCGCTCGCTGAGGGCTTCAATACAGGTATTTGATTTCTCTGGCTACGGATCTATTGATTTATGTAGTAGCGCTGTTGGTAATTTAGCCACTACTAGCTCTAAAGATTTCTTGAGAGACTTCGGAGATACTTATAGTCGGAGTAATTGCTCAAAAGTCAATGTCCTCTAGTAATGACCACAATTTGTAGTCCAACGGGTTCAAATCTACACTAGACGAGGGCTTGTCTGCAGCTATTACGAAATCCGCTTGTTTTTGAACCAGTTTTGAGTTCTTCGTGTCTTATGATCAGGATCAGAGCCTTTTTGGCAAATCAACTGTACATTTTAAAAGCGTATCACTCTACAGTCTACACGATCAAAGACAGTCCTTTGAAAAACTTTGACCGATTTTTTCACCTCTTTCACAATAATATCATCGTGACTTCTTGGTAGAATACACTCACCAAACCATGATTGATGCAGGATGATGACTTGGTTGTACATTTCGAAAACATTGCGTGGCTTATATAGAGCGGTAAGCATTTTAGTGCCTTGCTGCAGCAATATTATTACTACAGCACGAATGGGTCGGCTCGACATCGGCTCGCACTGAATACCAATGTGATATACTATTATAACGCTGGTGTCTTTCGTATGGTGAGTGAGAACAACTAGACCTTTTTTCTGTTAATGAGGCGTTCCAGCTTAGTGCTCAGTGAAGATAACGCATCTGCATTTTGATTTTAAGAGATGAATGTAAGTATCTATAGGCTACAGCATTCACTTACCATTAGGTGGACTGTGTGATCGTTTGTTGTATTCATATCTTATTTCATTAAAAAACATGATATTTATAGACTCATAGTTTTAGCAATTTGTGCATTTCAATTAAAATTAATTACTATTATGCCTATTAAAAATTAAGTTATTATTTTCTTTCAAAATAAGACTCGATAAGTGTATAAATATGCAATGTAACATATGTAATGTAAGTGGTGTTAAATATACTTAAAATATATTTTACAAATTTAACTAAGCCTTGTTGTTACCCATCTGCGAACAGGATTTTATCGTAAGGTCGTAGCAGACCTTACGATAAAATCCTCAGACGGAAGACCAAGGCGAAATTCAAATTAAAAATTAAATACATAATTAGCAATAAAAGGAGTTGAATTTTAATTAAAATATAGCAATAAAAATCTCATCTATACAAATATTGTTTATATTTTTTTATACAGTCTGTTTGTAATGTCAAAATAACAGCTTTTAATAAATGCACATGAAAGCACGCGTACATTCGGCACTTGCTAAACGTTATACGGCACTTGTAGCAAGAAAAAAAAAAACAATTTTTAAATTTTTGTTTGTTCCGGATAATCTCCGAAATGGCTAATGTTATAAGGAGTAACTTAGGCTTATTTTATTTTAGAAAAAGAATTAGGGTATCGCGTAAAAAAATCCATGAAATTCAATGGCAATAAATTCCATGCTTATGAAGACGCGGGGCCGCGGGGAACATCTAGTATTGTATACTGTATATTATACGTTAATCACTCCAAAAGGAAATTAAAATTGTCTTAGCGCCCTAATCTTTGCGATATTTGCGATTTGGTATTTGCGATGTTATATATATAATTACATTCCTTTTCACCCGACCAAGTATGGGAAAAACAGTGTTGTAACGCGTTTGGTAGCGATTTATGATAAAAAGTTTAGCTCAATTGATCCTATTAAAAGTACTAAGTGCATTCAAAAATAAAATTCATAAATTAATTCACTCAAGCTGAAAGTAAAAAGTATCATTCGTGCACTCGTTTAACACTGTAATGCTTTCATTATATATATATTATATACATTTATATACTTGTTACTACTATATATTTATATGTTACTACTATATAGTTATACTATTTTTAATTTTCATCTTCTTCCATTCAAATATTTATATTACCATTAAATATGTATGTAACAGTAATATCATCACATACATATCTGTGTGTAAGTGTATTTATGTGTGTCGTCTGTTATTGTATTGCATATATGTTAAAGTTAAAGTTACAGCCTATATACGTCTCACTGCTGGGCACAGGCCTCCTCCCATTTCTGAGAGGCTTTAGGGCAAGGAAGTGTCCGCCGCGCTGTTCCAGTGCGTGTTGGCGAATTTCACGTCTTCGATTTTTTTTCTTATTTCTCAAACATCCAGATTTCATCACTATGTTGCCTGATGTTCCTACGCTGAGCACGTTGTTAATAATCACTTAAAATTGCAATTAACAATGTCATTGGTGCCGGTACTGTTACACAGTTTATGTATATGTTATATTACACAGTTACAATATATTATATAGTTTATATGCATGAAAGTATTATTTATAGTTTAATTAATAAGTTTTTGCGGGTATTGTACGTTCTTTGTGAGCGTCTACTTTGCGATATGAGTAACTATACTTAATTTCAAGTCAATCTGATATATAGTTTTAGAGATATCGTGGTGAGTCAGTATATACATATAACATAATACATAATTTATATATATGAAATTATTATTTATATTTTAATTAATAAGTTTTCGCTAAGTATTGGTGCTTACCGATTTTTATTGATTTATATTGTTATTTTTGGTGATTTACATTGTGGATAACTATTTTTGGCTACAATCAGTTGTTATTCTGAATAAAAAGAAAAACAAAAAAGTATTGTGGAAAAAAGATATAGGTATGATGGCATAAACCATTTAAGTACCTACACAACACAACATTATACAAATTTATAAGAAACTGCATAAGCATTAAAAATATCTCTGTATGTTGTAGGAAGTCATTACTCAGCATAAGTTTCGGTACACCACAACGCTGTTTCAGTGATGAGTGATGACCATAGCTTTGGAGAATACAATCCCAAGACCAATAAAATGGATTGTGCTTAGAATGCTGGCTGTATTTGTTTCTGAATGTCCATACTTAGCTTTAGGACGATTTAAGAAGCAGTCCTTTTATCACCAGTCGCGGATACTGTACGTTCTCAGTGAGCGTCTACTTTGCGAAATGAGTAACTGTACAAAATTTCAAGTCAATCAATATATAGTTTTAGAGATTTCGTGGTGAGTGAGTATGTATATATATATATATATTACGGTTTTAAGTTTTTTAGTTACGGCTAGTTAATTAATTAATAATCTCCTTGTCTGTCGCTTCTAACTTCACGTCCGAACGAAAGAAGACGAATATATATGTCGTTCACTTAAAATTATATCTACTACTTATATAATATATTCTTATCTCTATTTGTACTATATTTTTATTTTATGGAACATTCAAAACTCGTAAACATTTAAAACAAGGTACAAACATTACTAGTATGGTTCTTAATCGTAGACATAATCTTTTTTTATTTTAATCTTGTAACTTTTGTTACCTGTACACATATTAAACAGCATATGGGTGCAACAAATATATTTAAATTAAATTTAATTGCGCACTAGCGATCCGCTCCGGACTTGTGTGATTTCCGGATCTCGACAACAGCTCCACCTACCGGGTCCAAATGTGAATCTAAACCGTCTAGGGCCCCATTTACACCCACACAAAGATTTCATCAAAATCGGTCGAGCCGTTTTTGAGTTTTAGCGAGATTAACGGACAGGAATTGATTTTTATATAATTTTATTGTATTTCATATAATTTTATATTATGATTGTAATTACTAATAATGAATATAATAATAGCATATACTTTACATCATGAGCATTATCATAAAACCATCTTTAAAAACAATTTACACGTGCACCGTGAAGCACGGGACAAGATATCTTGATTAATACGCCGATGTGTAGGTTCACTTAGGAAATATTTACGTCACCGTTCTAAGACTCCTCTCTCATATTAACCTGCGGTGAATGAAGACACAAGTAGGAACATAGTGGAAATTACTTCCTAATCACGAGCTCGGACAAGA